GCCGTGGTTCCCGGAGGTGTCGCCCGGCCCGGAGGTGTCGCCCGGCCCGGAGGTGTCGCCGGTCGGCCGTGGTTCCCGGAGGTGTCGCCCGGCCCGGAGGTGCCGCCCGGCCCGGAGGTGCCGCCGGTCGGCCGTGGTTCCCGGAGGTGTCGCCCGGCCCGGAGGTGCCGCCGGTCGGCCGTGGATCCCGGAGGTGTCGCCCGGCCCGGAGGTGCCGCCCGACCCGGAGGTGCCGCCCGGCCCGGAGGTACCGTCGGTGCTTATACCTTATTGTCCCGGCATTTCGTTTGTTTCCTTCTTAATTAATGCTAATTATCGTTGTTTGACATTCGCCATACGGCTATCGTGGTAATATTTTATCGTACAATAGGACTTTTCGATCGTTCGCTCTCCGCGACAATGTCTCGATTGAACGCGCCTTTCGGCGCTCGCGCTCGCATACGGCCGTGCGTAGGACCGTGCGTCGCCGACCGCCTGGCCGGCCGGTTGGGTACTATAAGAGATACGTCGCGCTCGGCGCGTCGAACGAGTCGAGCGAGTCCGGACGAGTCGTAAACGTACTTTCTCGAGTCTCTCGCCACTCCGGCGTGTTTCGACCGCTCTCCGTACCGTCGCCGACCGCTTGGCCGGTCGGTTGGGTACTATAAGAGGGTAGGAGAGATTAATATTGTACGTGTCGCGCTCTCGACGTTGACAAACGAAGAATCGCCCGTACGGGTCGAGAACGGATTTTGTCGAGTCGCGACTCTGACACGGAGAGAACATTTATATAAAATGTTTGATTTGGAAACCACGAATATATAAAATAATATACGATCGTCGCAGAACGCGCCGCCGCCAAGTCTTCTCATGCTTGGAGGTTGCGTGTCTCGCGAGAACGTACGTTCGACTCTCGCGTCGTCTCGTATTCCTCTTCGCCGGGGATTACGGTGCGGCTCTTCTCGTTCGTCGCCGAACGCGCGCAAAATTAACGCACACTTATTTATTACGAGCACAGCATTGCCACGAGTCGGTGTCGCAAGACCGAATGGCTCTTATGTGGCGCGCACGCCTCTAGTGTGTTGGCCGCGCGGTTCCCTCTCGTTTCGTACGCAGCAGCGGAATCGTCGCGCTTACCGAGCATCTACTCCACGGATACGAGTTTGCGGGAAGAGTTGCTTCTTCCCGCTCGCTTTGTACGCCGTAGCAAAATCTTATTGCTGGTCGTGTGCGGTTAAACGCGTACGAACCAGACAGAACAGTCCTCGACGTCTAAGCATCGCCATCGTCGATCTAGCGTCAGGGTGAATCGCGCGGTCTCTCGAGAATAAGAACACGAGTATTTTGATCTTGTGGATTTTTGAACGGAGAGGAGGAGGAAGAAGAGAGGCGGCGGCGTCGGGGGTTTACTCTCGCCTCCGTCGTTCTCTCGTACGCTTTACATAATAGCGTTAAACACAGCAGAGTGTCGCCGACCGGCTGAGCAAGACCGGCGGCAAATAAAATGGCACATACGAGCATGTCGCGCGCGCGTCGGTGTTCCGGCATCGAACGCGCGCGCGCGCGAAAAAGAGCTAGCGAAGAGTCTTCGGGCTCGCTCGCGAGTTACTCCCTTGCGAGTAACCGAACACGAAGCTCCCTGGTTGATCCTGCCAGTAGTCATATGCTTGTCTCAAAGATTAAGCCATGCATGTCTCAGTGCATGCCGAATTAAGGTGAAACCGCGAATGGCTCATTAAATCAGTTATGGTTCATTAGATTGTACCTACATTTACTTGGATAACTGTGGTAATTCTAGAGCTAATACATGCAAAACAGAGTCCCGACCAGTGATGGAATTTACGCTTTTATTAGATCAAAACCAATCGGTGGCGGGCGGCTCGCCGTTCGTCCACCGTTTATTTTGGTGACTCTGAATAACTTTGTGCTGATCGCACGGTCCTAGCACCGGCGACGCATCTTTCAAATGTCTGCCTTATCAACTGTCGATGGTAGGTTCTGCGCCTACCATGGTTGTAACGGGTAACGGGGAATCAGGGTTCGATTCCGGAGAGGGAGCCTGAGAAACGGCTACCACATCCAAGGAAGGCAGCAGGCGCGCAAATTACCCACTCCCGGCACGGGGAGGTAGTGACGAAAAATAACGATACGGGACTCATCCGAGGCCCCGTAATCGGAATGAGTACACTTTAAATCCTTTAACGAGGATCCATTGGAGGGCAAGTCTGGTGCCAGCAGCCGCGGTAATTCCAGCTCCAATAGCGTATATTAAAGTTGTTGCGGTTAAAAAGCTCGTAGTTGAATCTGTGTCGCACACCGTCGGTTCACCGCTCGCGGTGTTTAACTGGCGTGATGTGGGACGTCCTACCGGTGGGCTTAGCCTCGCGAGGGGCGGCCCAACTAATATCCCGTCGCGGTGCACTTTACTGAGTGTCGAGTCGGGCCGGTACGTTTACTTTGAACAAATTAGAGTGCTTAAAGCAGGCTACCTTCGCCTGAATACTGCGTGCATGGAATAATGGAATAGGACCTCGGTTCTATTTTGTTGGTTTTCGGAACCCCGAGGTAATGATTAATAGGGACAAATGGGGCATTCGTATTGCGACGTTAGAGGTGAAATTCTTGGATCGTCGCAAGACGGACAGAAGCGAAAGCATTGGCCAAAAATGTTTTCATTAATCAAGTACGAAAGTTAGAGGTTCGAAGGCGATCAGATACCGCCCTAGTTCTAACCATAAACGATGCCAGCTAGCGATCCGCCGAAGTTCTTCCGATGACTCGGCGGGCAGCTTCCGGGAAACCAAAGCTTTTGGGTTCCGGGGGAAATATGGTTGCAAAGCTGAAACTTAAAGGAATTGACGGAAGGGCACCACCAGGAGTGGAGCCTGCGGCTTAATTTGACTCAACACGGGAAACCTCACCAGGCCCAGACACCGGAAGGATTGACAGATTGATAGCTCTTTCTTGATTCGGTGGGTGGTGGTGCATGGCCGTTCTTAGTTGGTGGAGCGATTTGTCTGGTTAATTCCGATAACGAACGAAACTCTAGCCTGCTAAATAGGCGTACCCTATGGTATCGCGGAACTTTTGAAAGAAAATCTGCCCGATTTTTTAGAAGAAGTGCCACTATTTGAAAGAAATAAAATGTTCTTTCAACAAGACGGTGCTTGACCACACAACGCCAGGATTGTAACAAACTACTTGAACGAGCAGTGTTCGACATTCGAACGGTAATAACCCGCGGACAAGAAAGCGTTAAAATATTCATGCATCTCGATCATGCCTCATGCAGCATGCATGTAATTTATTAATTAATATCGTGGTCTAACATGCGTATTTTAAATTATATTTAAATTAGCGCTCGGCCGCGAGAGTATACGGATACTCCGCGCCTTCGAAAATAAGCGCTTAAAACAGTCTAAATTGTAAACACCGCTGTCGCGCGAGAGGAGAGAAAAACAAGTAAATAATTACAGTAAACGTTCCTTCGCCCTTAATATCACAATAGAACGACAGCAAATGTACTCGAATATTCTAGAATTACAAGGCGTATATAAACTTCCTCTCTCGCGACCGCGGCGCTTTTTCCGATTGCTCATCGCGAATAAAGTGTGTTCATACGATAAAGATTGCTTGTCTTTGTCTAATTCATTACCGTTGCTTGCGGACACTTAGTAATTTACGACTCGGCTAATTCTCTCGGTAAATTCGGTGCGGTATATTAATTGTAATTTTTGTTAATAGTTTATATAAATATATTTTTTTTGTGAACGTTACGCGTGTGTCGAGTGTTGTGTCTATTTCTCGGTCTCGCTTCCGACCACGTCCTATCCATCTTTCCGTCGCGCACATTTTTTGGTCCTTCGAGCCGGATTCCTTCGGAACCTCCTGTGAATCCGGTGCCACGGAAGCGATTGTGATTGAGTGTCGGTGACCAGTGCTTCTGGAACAGAGAAACATTGTTAGAAATGACAGACACGAAGGCGATCATTGCCACCGCCACGGTGCTGTACGGCAAGATCTCGCGCGCGTTCGAGAACCTGCGGAAGCTCGGCGAGGCCAATGTGACCCTCGGCGCGGTGGAGGCCCGGCTTCAAAATCTCGAGAAGCTATGGGATAAATTCGACGCTCTTAATGATACGTTAGCCGATCGGGTTGACGAAATAAAGCATGAGGTCTACGCTAAACAGGACATCCCGTCCTTAGGCGAGGAAGCTTACCTGCTGAACAAGGACCTCATGCTTGATCTGAAGAGCGCTCTCCAGCTGCAGCTACAGGCAGCCAGCTCTACCGCGGCCGCGACAACTAGTCCCGCTCCTCGGACAGCGCTGCCAAAAATCCAACCGCCTACCTTCGCCGGGAAATACGAGGATTGGCCTTCATTCCGGGATCTGTTCCAATCCCTCATCGGCCGGAATCAGGCAGCAAAACCTGTGGAGAAGTTACACTACTTAAAACTTTGTGTGAAGGGTGACGCCGATCTGCTGATTCGTAACCTCAGCACCACAGAAGACAACTATGAAATCGCCTGGAAAACTCTAAGCGATTATTACGAGAACAAAAGATTGCTGACTCGTAATTATCTGAATAATTTCTTAGCGTTGACCAAGATGAAAAGCGAATCCGCCGTTGAATTGAGGAGGCTTTTCCATGGAGTAAAAACAACTGTCAGCTCCCTGAAGAGCATAGACCGACCGATAGACCGCACGGAGGATCTCTTCGTCCACCTCGTCGTAGAGCTCCTCGACAGCCGCTCTAGGCGAGAATGGGAGAGTGATATAAGTCACACCACGAGTCCGCCAAGCTACGCCTAGCTTGAGGCCTTCATAGAACGTCGGCTCCATACGTTGGAGGCGCTGTTTCCGGCCAGGAACGACAGCAGCAGCTCCAGCACTACGAAATCAACGAGGAGCCACCACGTCAAAGGCCAAGATCCAAAAGAGAAGTCCAGAAGCCGGTGCTCCATCTGCCAGGGGGACCACTTTGTTATGTTCTGCGGCGACTATAAGGATAAGACGGCGATGGCGCGTAAGCAGCTCGTCCGTGAGCATAAGCTCTGCTCAAACTGCCTTGGCCGGCATCAATCTTCCGAGTGCTCTTCGAAGAAGACGTGTACAGCGTGTGGCAGTCGACATCACTCCTCGCTTCACGATGCATTCCGGGAAGCCGAGGCCGCCACGACGTTTCACGTGGCTCAAGGCGCAGACTCTTCCTCCGCAACGGTGCTGCTCGCTACGGCTAGGGTCCGCGTCCTCGACTGCCACGGAAGCTGGCAGTCCGCTCGCGCTCTGATCGACCAGGGCTCCGAATCCTCCATCATTTCGGAGCGATTAGCGCAGCGCTTACGACTCCCTAGAAGAGCAGCCGCCGTTAGTGTCTATGGAGTCGGAGAGAAAAGGACCGGAGTGACAAAGGGGAGAATGAGACTCACCCTGCAGTCGTGCAGAGGGGAATCGCCCACCTTCGTCAACGCTTTAGTGCTGCCGAAGTTGACGCTGTTTTCCGGAGGATGCCGCAGCAGTAGACGAACCTGGACCCATCTGGAGGACCTGGAGCTCGCCGATCCGGAATTCTGCTCCTCGGACCCCGTCGACATCCTACTGGAAGCCGACGTATATGGGACCATCATCCGTCAGGGTCTACGAAAAGGAGGTTCTAAGGATCCAGTAGCTCAACAAACCTCGTTGGGCTGGATTCTCTCAGGTACAGTTAGCTCGACGGCGCCCAGCCAACACATCTCCGCTCATCACTGCCAAATCGAGGAGGACATCACCTGCTTGGTGCGGCGGTTCTGGGAGCAGGAGGAAGTCCACCGGCCATCTCCGACCCTCACCAAGGCGGAACTAGAGTGCGAGGAGCACTACCGCCGTCATCACTCGCGCTCTCCTGACGGCAGGTACATAGTGCGGCTGCCAACGATCGAGTCTCTCCCGGATCTGTCTGGGACTCGTCGCGCCGCCAGTCGTGCTCTGCAACAGACGGAGAAAAGGTTAGAGAAAGATGCCGACTTTAAGGACATGTACGTAGAGTTCATGCAAAAGTACAAGGAACTGCGACATATGATGCTTGCACCAGCGCCAGCTGAGCCACAACGAGGTACCTGTTACCTGCCGCATCACGGGGTCCTGCGTCCGGACAGCACTTCCACTAAGCTGAGGGTCGTGTTCAACGGCTCGAGCTCCTTGCCGAACGGGGACTCTCTCAACCAATTTCTTCTGACTGGACCGAATCTGCTTCCTGCGCTGGCTGACATCCTGCTGCGTTGGCGACGCCACAGATACGTCTTCGCTGCCGATATCGAAAAGATGTATCGGCAGATCCTAGTGCATCCGGACGATCGAAGCCTGCAGCGAATCCTGTGGAGAGACGACTCTAAGAACGACGTCCAGGAGTTCTGGCTATGCACAGTCACTTACGGGCTCTCATGCGCCCCGTATCTGGCCATCCGTACCTTACGCCAACTCGCCGAGGACGAAGAGCATCGCTTTCCGAAAGGCGCCGACATCCTGCGGAGCGATGTCTACATGGATGACATCCTGTCCGGTGCCGAGAATCAAGAGGAAGCAGAATCTATGGTGAGGCAGCTGACAAATATATGCACGGCGGGCGGGTTCACACTAAAAAAGTGGTCTACAAACGCCTCCTACCTGCTGAGCCTCGTGGAACCGGACGCGCGCCTGCAACAAGAGGCCAGATGGTGGCTGCCCGGCGAGAGTCATTCCACTCTCGGCCTTTGATGGCAACCATGCGACGACCGCTTCGCCTTCGCCACCCACCGGATCACTCTCTCAGCGGTCACCAAAAGGTCGGTCCTTTCTTTGACGGCCAAATTATTCGATCCACTCGGCTGGCTGTCTCCAACGACTGTGCTGGCCAAAATCAACATCCAGGCTACCTGGCTACTAGGTCTCGACTGGGACGCGTCTCTGCCAAGCGAGGAAGCCAGAAAATGGCTGCGATTCCAGGAGGAGCTAGCGGCATTGGAGAAACTAGTCGTGCCTTGTTGGTTAGGAGCCCTAGCTGACTCCCATCAAGAGGTTCACGGATTTGCAGATGCCTCCGAACGTGCCTACGCCGCAGTCATCTACCTGCGAACAAACACAAACGGAGTTAGGAGAGTGACTTTATTAGCTGCGAAGACCAAGCTCGATTGGTCGCCCACGTCGTGCCTCTTATTGGCGCAGAAAAGGCGCCTCTCCATCTGTGGTCGGATTCCACCGTGACTCTCGGCTGGATCCGGGGCCACCCTTCGTCCTGGGTCACTTACGTCGCTAATCGGGTGAGTGAGATCCAGACGCTGACTCCGGACGCCCACTGGCACCACGTCCCCGGCCGAGAGAATCCCGCGGACTGCGCGTCACGAGGACTCTACCCCAGCGAGCTTGTGGACCATTCACTATGGTGGCAAGGTCCGTCGTGGCTGTCCTCCGAGAGCCAACCGTGGACGATCAACTGCGAGGAGCCACCAGAGGATGACCTCCCAGAGAGGCGCGTCCGCGCCCACGTCGCCGCCATTGCCGAACAAAGGACTGAGCCGGAGATGCTTCTTTGATACTCGTCGCTACAACGCCTGCTCCGGATCACTGCGTGGTGCCGTCGCTGGCTGCGGATCCATCGTCAGGACCACCTCGCGCATGGCCAGCCCGGCTTGAACAGCGCCGACGAGATCGAGGACTTCCGGATCTCCTGGTTAAAAATCATCCAGGCTGAAACATACAAAGAAGAACTGAGACACCTGAAGAATGGAAAGCCTCTGCCGACTCGAAGCTCCCTACTGAAGCTAAGTCCTTTTCTGGACAGTGAGGGACTCCTACGCGTCGGCGGGCGCCTTAAACACGCTGCACTGCAGTATGATGCCACGCATCCAACCATACTACCAAGCAGATCTAATTTTACTTGCCTCATCATCGACGACTACCACAAGCGGACGCTGCACGGCGGCACCCAGTTGACTTTGTGCTCTCTTCGCCAGGAGTATTGGGTCCCTCGAGGTCGCGCTCTAGTGAAGAGCCGCATCAGCCGGTGTCTAAGGTGCACCAGATGGCGGGCTGCCATCCCTCAGCCACTGATGGGGGACCTCCCGACACCACGAGTTACTCCAGGCCGGCCGTTTCTGCATACCGGCGTAGACTACGCCGGACCGATTTGGATGCGAACAGCAGGGGGCCGCGGACTCAAGGCGACAAAAGGTTTTATTGTTGTCTTTATTTGTTTAGCTTACCGAGCAGTCCACCTCGACGCGGCCTCGGACTACACCGCTGACGCCTTCCTTGCCGCCTTGCGTCGGTTCGTCGCCAGGCGAGGAGTCTGCCACTCGCTATATAGCGACTGCGGCACCAACTTCGTGGGTGCCGATAAGCAGCTTAGGCAACTATTCTCCGCCGCCAGTGCCGACGGACATCGCATCGCAACCTTCGCCGCCCAGAAAAGAATCCGGTGGCGGTTCAACCCGCCAGCTGCACCTAACTTCGGCGGTTTATGGGAAGCTGCCGTGAAAGCGATGAAGCACCACCTTCGGCGAGTCATCGGTGACGCCACCCTCACCTACGAGGAGATGACTACTCTCCTAGCCCAAATTGAGGCCTGCCTCAATTCCAGACCGCTGCAGCCGTTGTCTGACGATCCGGAGGATGTAGCCGCACTCACACCTGGTCACTTCCTGGTCGGCTCCGCTCTCTCGGCGATCCCCGAACCGTCGCTCGAACGAGAGCCGTCGGCACGTCTCTCACGGTGGCAGCTCCTGCAAAACATGAAGGACCATTTCTGGTCTCGGTGGGTCAGCGAATACTTACACACGCTGGCCCATCGGCCGAAATGGTCCCGAATTAATCAGGAGGCTCGCGTCGGTCGAATCTGCCTCGTGCGAAACGAAATAACACCACCAACACGGTGGCCGCTTGCGCGCATTACACGACTGCATCCAGGTTCCGACGGTAACGTTCGCGTAGTCGACGTCCGCACCTCGACCACAAATTTGACGCGTCCCGTGAACAAGTTAGTCTTTCTGACCGACGGCTCCGAAGACTCACTCGAATCGCAATCACGCGTCGTCCGCGTTTAAAAAATTTACACTTTTCTCTATTCCATATTCACATTCATTTATTTTTTTTCACTAAATTTTCATTATTCTCCTCACAATTGTACTTCACACTCACAGTCACTTGCACATCGCCAGCATACGGTCTACGCGACGCTTAACCTATACGCGTCTATACTGACTCCCAGTATAAACAGCTGATCGATTCAGCATTCCGTTCTCTAAATCAATCGGAGCACGTGCGCTCCACGTGTCCGTCACGCACGAGCGCGTGAATAGGCTCGTGCCCCACTCTCGCGCTGAGAACACGATTGCAGGTATATTACTGCAAGGCGGGCGGAATGTTCGAGATTCGAACGGTAATAACCCGCGGACAAGAAAGCGTTAAAATATTCATGCATCTCGATCATGCCTCATGCAGCATGCATATAATTTATTAATTAATATCGTGGTCTAACATGCGTATTTTAAATTATATTTAAATTAGCGCTCGGCCGCGAGAGTATACGGATACTCCGCGCCTTCGAAAATAAGCGCTTAAAACAGTCTAAATTGTAAACACCGCTGTCGCGCGAGAGGAGAGAAAAACAAGTAAATAATTACAGTAAACGTTCCTTCGCCCTTAATATCACAATAGAACGACAGCAAATGTACTCGAATATTCTAGAATTACAAGCGTATATAAGCCTCCTCTCTCGCGACCGCGGCGCTTTTTCCGATTGCTCATCGCGAATAAAGTGTGTTCATACGATAAAGATTGCTTGTCTTTGTCTAATTCATTACCGTTGCTTGCGGACACTTAGTAATTTACGACTCGGCTAATTCTCTCGGTAAATTCGGTGCGGTATATTAATTGTAATTTTTGTTAATAGTTTATATAAATATATTTTTTTTGTGAACGTTACGCGTGTGTCGAGTGTTGTGTCTATTTCTCGGTCTCGCTTCCGACCACGTCCTATCCATCTTTCCGTCGCGCACAAGCAGTTTCCTGGACGTTGGATGGGTCGGTATGGCCCGATACGTTGGCCCGCAAGATCCCCGGACCTTAATTCTCTTGATTTCTTTTTATGGGGATACTGTAAGGAATCAATATACAAAACGCTTCCCGAGAACGTCGACGACTTAGAAACCAGATTGCGATATGTAATTTGGAATATCGAAGAGGAAGTAATGGAGAACGTCCAATTAAATTTATTTAAACGCATGCGAGCTTGCATAAGGATGGATGGTGGTCATTTTGAGCACCTATTATAAATTAATCCGCTCTTTTCAGAGCGACCAAAGTCAATCCGCTCTTTTCAGAGCGACCAAAGTCAATCCGCTCTGAAAAGAGCGACCAATACATTTATACATGGAACATCTTGTTCGCAAAACATAATCATTTTTCTCACGTCTCGCTTAAAAAGAAAGGGCAAAACGGGCGGATAATGTTAAGTCATTAAAAAAATGTATTATAACGTAAAAAATTATAATACGTTATAATATGCCTTTTTTAATAACATAATTATTATACGTTTTAATACATGTCTCGCGTCAATCACATGTTCGGCAACGCCGCGTGATTGTTATCGTCTAGACGTGTCGCGAAGCGTCGCGACGCGTTGCGTCATCCGTCGCCGCATCTGTTGTCGTGTCCTTGCCGTGTAAACAATTGTCGTCCGCATCGAGTAACGTGTGCCTTTTTACAAGTAATTTTTAATAATTAATCGGTACACTGAGAGAATTTTCTCTTAAAATTTACCCTAAAAGTTATGGTAATTGTGAGACAATACGGTATGAAAAGAATTTTATTAAAATTTCTCTGATTAATATTTATCACATTAAAAATAATATCTATCACAATAAAATATGAAATATGTGTGATTAATTTTACTAAACTGTATAGTAAAATTAATCAAACATATTTTATATTTTCTTGTGATACATATTATTATTTTTAATATAATAAATAGTAGAGAAATTCTAATAAAATTCTTTCCACATTGTTGAAGATTCGTTCTTCGGATCGAATCCTCGAGGACGATCGAATTTTCTAGAATGTTTTTTGTTAAATTCCTTAGTGTTTACGCCAAGGAAACACGTGAAACCAACGTGTACACTCGCCGCTAATTGGCGTGTGTACATCGCCTGATTTTCTGATGGTCCAATCGAGGACCCCGATCGGCTGCCGCCCTACGCGAGCTCCGAAATTCGCGCAGCCCTCGAGTCAGTCCTCGAGAGAGCGAGCGCCGAGAAACATAAGTCTCGGTACGCGACGAACTTGTAGAAAGTGAATAAACTAATTTATAAGAGTTTTAACAAGGCTCTGTAATATAAATATAAATTTAACGTATAAGACGGGCAACAAGAGCCAAATCGCGGATGACAATGCGTTATCCTAACGAAACTAAATAATTTTCCGTTAGAATTAAATACCGGTGCACAAGGCACCAAATTTTACTTGGACTTGTAAATTTTAATTTTACTTGCCAGGATTTTTTCCAACTGAGCTATCAGATCCTTTCGATTCTATAATTTTCTCTGTTATATATATTAATGTTGGTAATAACGCCTTTAAGCCAGCGTGTATAATTAAGAGTTTAACTAGGCTCTGTAATATATAAATTAAATTTAACAATATAAGATAGGCAATAAGAGCCAAATCGCGGATGACAGTGCGTTATTCTAAACGACTAATTTTTTTCGTTGAATTAAATACCTGTGCACAAGGCACCAAATTTTTATTTTTTTTGGCCTTATTGCCTATCTTATATATGTTAAATTTATATTTATATTACAGAGCCTTGTTAAAACTCTTATTTATACACGCTGGCTTAAAAGGCGTTTATTTACCAACATTAATATATATAACAGAGAAAAGTATAGAATCGAAAGGATCTGAATAGCTCAGTTGGAAGAGCAGTCGCCCGGCAAGCGAAAGGTCTCGGGTTCGATTCCCGATTCAGCGATTTTCGGATCTATATTTTTCTCTCGCACATTTATTTCTTTAGGGGGAATAGGGGATATTGGAATTAAATCTCTTGTAGAGATTATTTCAATTTTAAATCTTGGCCGTGTCCAAGTAAAATTTGGTGCCTTGTGCACAGGTATTTAATTCTAACGAAAAAATTTAGTTTCGTTTAGAATAACGCACTGTCATCCGCGATTTGGCTCTTATTGCCTATCTTATATGTTAAATTTATATTATTTATTCAGTTATTTTGTACGAGAAAATTACTATCACGGGTATACGTTTTATAACAAATTAAATATATTTATGTTCAAAAATTATATTGACCTTTAATTTTAATTTTGTATTTTATTAAAATTAATAATTAACATATATACTTAATTGCGAATTATATGGATGAACAAAATCCCTATTATGTGCGTAAGAGATTTCGGAACTCTTTGCTAAAATAATTAAATTAAAAGTCAAATATAATTTTTGAACACTTTTATATTATTAAAAATATATAATTCGACTCTCGAAATATATTAATTCATTATAAAACGTATACGTATTAGTATTTTTCACATATAAAATGATTAGAATAAATTAAATTAATTATTAAAAAACTAAAAATTAATTAACGACTTAGACTTAGATGAAATAATAATGAAACATTTATTAAAAAATAATTATAATAGGTCAGGTTAATATTTTATTTATTTATTTATTTATAACATCATAAAATTCTGTCCTTTCCGAAATACGCGAACGCTACGAAAAGATAAATCTCGTACATGCCGCCGGACGAGTTCATTAGCATGAGACGCTCTTATCTTGGGAACGTATTAATAGTTTACTGCATTGACCACTACTACAATATGGCGCTGAAATCATGAGAAATGCTGGTCTCTCCTTCATCCAGACCTTTGGCGATCGTCTATTAATCTGTGCTCTCGATCATCTTGTTGCTTTTCGACGTTTCTAAACATTTAAAAGGTGCGCGACTTGCTATTTCGACGCCGAATCTCGTAATTTTTTTGAAGAATCAACAATTTCAACGAAATTGTAAATTCTTCAAATCACTGCACAAGTATAATTCACAATAATAATTTTAGTAACTACGTACGATAAAAATCGTATACTGAAAACCGCAAACGAAAGTGCAATGGAAGTAGAGTAAAGTCTGTGATAAAATTAATTGGCAATAGAAAATTAATAATTTTCAAATAGAAAATTTTGAAATTACCGAGGATTTACAAATAATAAAGTAAAAATATTAAATAATTTATGTTTTCGAATTTGCGCTCGCGGAGAGGATCTTTAAACAAGATTTTTAGAAGAGAGGACCTTTAAAATATAAACAGGCAAAAACGTTGGAAAAATTAAAGCGCGCGTTTAAACAGATAAACGCAATGAAATAGATACGCAATTGTTTTTACTTATCGCTGTAAGCTCACAAGCTTCTGACGTGCTATACACTTTTATATAATATATACAGGGTGTCCGGTAACTAACGGACCAATGATTAAGGGCGGATTCTCTGGCCAATTTGGAGACGATTTTTCCTTAGCAAAAATGTAGAGAAGTCAATAATTTTCGAGTTATAAGCGATTGAAAAAAATAGGTTTTTTGAAAACTAAACGTTTTGGAGTTAAAAGTCTAACATAATTACATTCTTCAGTTAATTTCAGGTAGAGTTTACTATAATAAAATTTAATTTAAGGCTTAGTTATAAAGATATATAATGACAAAGATTGGAAAGTTGTAAAAAATGATGACCTTTTTCGACATTTTCGCTGAAGAAAAATCGTTCCCAAATTGACCAAAGAATCCATTTGTAATCATTGTCTGTTAGTTACCGGACACCCTGTATATTGGACACGAGTTTCGTTTGTTTCAGATTCTCGAGAGTTGAAGTAGGAACATACGAGTATCATATATATTTGTGACTTGCCGAATAAAAGCAAGACAGAGAGCGAACGAGATGATGAGCTTAATAGCTCATAATGTTTATAAATAAATAAATAAAAAATTATAACTTGACCTACTAGTTATTAAATCTTTTTTTTATAAATGTTTCATTTTATTATCA